ACCCACTGGAGCTGTCCTGCGATCGGGAGAATGTACAGGCTCCTCTACAGCTCAACCCCGTAGCCCCGACATTCAGGCCCAGGAGGGATGCAGCGGTAGCCGCTCGTTATCGCATTCAAGACGCGAACATTGATGCTGATTAGAGATATTTAGGAACACTGAACTGATATACTGGACTAACTTTCTGTTTCGTTCATTGAATTTCAAATTTTATCGAGTGCACCATTCTAGTGTTTTTCTCCGTTGAGAAAAACAGGGGAGTGTGTGAGAGATTATTCAGCGTTAATTGATTTCCGGGTGACTTTTTGCGATAAGTGACAGATGATTGAACAATAGGATCACATTATATATTTAAAATGAGAGAGACCAGAGCGTGAGATAGAGAACGGTGAGAGAGAGAGAGGGAGATTAAGTTGATTTTATAAAATAAAACGTGAAGTTTCGGAACATAGCAGACTCTTTAGTCTCATTTCCGACACCAGCATGCGCCTCATTTCGTGGAAGAGAATGCATTGAAAACGTCTTGTTTGAAGAGGATTTTCTCAATAATTTAAGCTTTTGACGGAGACAACATCGCCAGCACTTGAGAAAAACATTCCTAAATTTTCTCTTAAATTCGTTGTGCCTCCACGCGTATAAAGGAGGATTCGCTACAAAGTTACTGTACAATAAAATTCAAATCCAAAAACGAGCTTGTTGGCTCTTAGTTGTTTCAGGAGTGGCAAAGTGGTAGAGGATCAGAAATATGTGAGGGTACACCAAAATTATGAACGCTCCGATCACAAAAGCGATCGTACCTGCAGCTTTGCGCTCTTCTTTCTGAACTCGGGTATCCCTGTCTGTCTGTCGTTTATCGAGGTAGTGACAGAGTCTAGGTTCAAGTAATTACTTAACTTTCTCCAATAGTCGGACGAGATCTACCAACAATGTCAAAATCTGGACGCCTTATGCTCGAACAAATATCCTCAAGAACTCTCTTTGGTATAAATGTATAAAAATCTGGAATGACTTGCCAAATGACATAATTAGCTCTAGCTCTGCTAGTAAATTTAAAAAAAACTGAAAGAACACATTTTAAAATAATATCAATTACCTTAATTTTTTGCTTTTATTCTGGGGGCTGCCGTTGATGAGAATTTAATTCCTCTCTGGCTTGACCCTTTTTGTCATTTTGCATTTCGATGTTATATTTATTTTTATCTGTCTGTAAACATGTTTTAATTATTATCTCTGCTCTTTTTTATCATTATTATTATTATCTTATTATTTAGGCAAATGAAGTTATTATAAATAAATAAATAAAGCGCCGCAACGAACGAAAGACGTACCACTTTACCCGCAAAATGACTGTTGGTGCTATGTTCCCTGATCGACTTGCTGGTAATCTTGAAAATCTTATAATAGGTTACCGCGATGATTAAGGTAACTAGAAGCACAAACCCAACGAAGAACGCGAGGAACGGTTTGTCACTAACACCTGGAAATTTAGGAGGAAACGTTACAATCAATGCCACCATCCAGATCAATGCAATCGTTAAAGAAACTTGTCCCCTTGCAACTTCACCGATGACAGATAAAATATCGGGAGCGACAAGGCGGTATCGCAGCCAGCCTAGATATTGATGCAATGATATTCACACGACCAATAAACTCAGCGATTTCGATCACCATCGTTGGCACTGTTTTTCAGCGATACATGGTCATATGTTGTGATGCTCGCATGGGTACGAGAACAGCGCCAACAAGCAGATCGGCAAAGGCGAGGGATATTAGGAGGAAGTTCGAAACAACCTTGAGTGATTTGCTCTTGCAGATCACAGCGATAGTGAGAGAGTTCCCGACAGTTCCGAACAGAAACAAGATTTTTCACACATAAAGCAAGGAGGACACCGTTGAAACTTATTAATAAAGTTTCAGCGTGTTCTTTACTTCACACTTTTGTAGAAACTGAAGCTCACATGCATGAAATATTATTTGACATGAATCTGCTAATTTTGACTGCAATTGTGTCGTATTATTCTCTTTGAAGTGAAATATGAGGTACATTTGCAGCGTCAGGTGGCCTGCAAAATGTTATTATTTCAGCTGTGGACTTATCTTTTGCTCAGGTGTCTAATCACCTCGAATGTCTGGCCCTCGTCTGCCATGGCATCGAACTAGAAGCAAATGGAGTGAAGTTGATTCTTGCCCCCAGAAGCCCAGCTTGAAGAGAAAATCATGGGAAACAGTGAAACCGGGACAAGGGCCAACCCCTTGGTTCTGTTTATATTAGCATTTGAATCTCATTAGAAAATCGCTTCTCTGCAAGTTTGAAAACATTGCTAATTGTCTATCTACCCCTCTTAATTAGATAGAGACACTTTTAAGGAGAGCAACTTTTTTAAGGTGTTAAACTGGTGGGCAATTGTGCTAATGTTTTGCTCTCTTTGCGTCAGAGAAAGAAAGCCAAAATTAAAAGTGTCATTGTCCAAAGTGTAGAAAAAATTATCGTTGAATGCAACAAATTAAGTCGAGAATCACTCCTTTAAAAAAAAAAACCAGTATCTGTCAGTATTCTTATTATTCCCTAACAAAATAGAAGAATGCTGGCTAAAAACATGGTTTTTTAATTTTTCAATTTCCAAGTACCAGCTGTTATACTTGGTGATGCGTATGACTCTTCAAGAATTATAGACATTGCTTCTGATGCAGATGTTGTTGTTCATGAAGCTCCTCTTGAGAATGAATTGATGGTTCAGTGCATAGATCATGGTCATTCAACTCCAGGTAGCTACTTCTGACAGTAACTATATTCACATTGTAAGAGCACATCTCCTTGAAAAGGTTCCCCTGAAATAAGAATTGCTTATGCAGGAAGCAAAAAAAACTGTCTTGCTCCAACCCAACACTTGTCAATTAGAGTGGAGTGAAGGGAAAAAGAAGAATGAAAAAAATAAAACAAATTTTGAAAAGCAAATTAGCATCACATTACATAGAGTAATTTATCTAAGACCTGTAACTTACACAGATGAGCCCACACATAATGACCTCATTTGTTTTCATATCCTGGTGAAAGGAGGGCCATGACTAATTGAAAAAGCGAATTAGCATCACATTGCATGGAATTTGTCCAACAGCTTAAGCAGTAATAAAGGGGGTTAGTTTCTAAAGAAACTGTGGTGCTGGGTTGGTGGGAGAGTATAACAGGGTAATTTGGTATTATCAACTGAGTTGATGATGTAAACTGGCCACTGGAAAGAGATGATTCTGCAACTGTACAAAAACTTCTTATGCAAGCTGAGAAGGCATTTCCATCAGGAAATGTTTTTGTCGCTTATGAATTTATGGTTACACAAATTCCTCAGAAACGTCAATAACAAAGAACTTTTAATTCTGTTCATTTCTACATCTAATGTAGTGTTCACAAGCAATACATTTCTCTATAATTTTTTCAGACACTTGTGCAAGACTGACACTGTTATGACATAATTTAAGTCTAAATATAAGTTATACAATTACCTCATGAAACCAATGAATTCATCTAACTATACTTTTGAGGTAATTATTACAAGAGAGCAACTCTTAACCTACATAATCCACTATACACTTAATTTCAGCTACTGCTGACACAAAGTAGAAATTGCCTTCCTCTAAGCACTTTTATCACTCACTTCTATTGCTCTGATGAAGGGCTAACGCTCGGAAACATCAGCTTTTTTACCCTTTACGGTGGCTAATTTAAGTTTTCAACTCAGTTGTTAACACTAAATTACCTGCTATACTCTCCCACCGACGCAGCAGCACAGTTTCTTTAGAAACCGTTACCCCTTTATTCACTTTTAATTCTGTTCATTTCTACATCTAATGTAGTGTTCACAAACAATACAGTTCTCTCGATTTTTTTTACACACACCTGAGTGAGACTGACATGCAATGCTATAATTCAGCTAACAGGAAAAATACCTTAAGTTAAACAATCATCTCATGAAACCAATGAATTTATCTAACTATACTTTTGAGATAATTATTACAAGAGAGCAACTCTTAACCTACACAATCCACTCTACACTTAATTTCTGCTACTGCTGATACACAGTAGAAATTGCCTTCCTCTAACAAAGCACTTTTAATTCTGTTCATACCTACATCTAATGTAGTGTTCACAAACAATACAGTTCTCTCTTTTTTTTTTTTTTTTTTTTTTACACACCTGACTGAGACTGACACTTAATGCTATAATTTAGCCAACAGGAAAAATACCTTAAGTTAAACAATTATCTTATGTTATACTTTTGAGGTAACTATTACAAGGAAGTAACTCTTCAACTACATAATCCACTAAATTCAACTACTGCTGATACACAGTAGAAATTTCCTTTCTCTGAAACTCCTAACAGTCAGAAAAATTCAGCAGTAGACCACAACAACTCTAGGTAGCTTTTTCATTTCAAGCAGTCAGCCTTGGCCAATAACATCCACTAACTTAGTTAGGTCACCAACTGTTTATATACATTAATAACACATTAATATTAAAGGTTCTTGAAGCCTTCAAAGTAACTATTCTCATAACATTACATAATTATTGCATCACTCAGTAGAATGTTCTAGATAAATCCACATAGCATGACTAAGCTTTCTAAAAATTTCCAGCAACTCTCTGTTCACAGCTATTCTCTATAACAATTAACACTTCCTAAAAATGGACCATAAGGTTGGTTCTTGCTATTTGAATTCTTCAGTTATTTTTTAAACTTAATTCATGCTGAAACAGGCACCACCTTGCTATTAGTGATGTTTGTGCATATTTGCAATAACTCTTTGATGATGAATTTGAAACTTCTCCCCACAATTTAAGCAAATATGTGATAAGAATTGACACATTTATCAACTTGAAGAGGCTATTTTCATGTTACACTACATCCTCTGTAAAATTAATCTACAAGAAAATCTATTACATGCAAAAGGGAGAATTTCAAGACAGGTCTCAAGGGTCAATAGGTTGAATAAACTATTTTGGTTGTTCAAAGCGCTTCTGGCAACAGATCTAGTCCACCTGTTACATTTCCTTCAATATGGTATCCTACATACTGGTTGTTTGGCTGATCATTCCGTTGTATGTTACCTCTAGCTTCCCTCCATATCTCTCTGAATCGCTGTAGCTCTTGGTGTCGTTGTCCACCAGTAATCAAGCTGTGAATACCATTGCCAATGAGACCCCCAGCAGCCCCTCCTATGGCCACACCAGCGGCTCCACTCCAAGGCCCCAGGATGAAAGCACTTGCCCCCAAAATCATACCCACTCCAGACCCAATCTGAGTAGCAGGATTGCTAAGGGCAAGGGCCACCCAACAATAGATCACACCAAAAGCGAAAAGAACCATCTCAATGACCTCGCGGAGCATGTGGATGAGGTTAACTCCCAACTTATTGGTTGCACTAAGATTCTGGAAGATGAGGAGCAAGATTTGGACAACAGGTGGCACAGCAATTCCCACGTTGTCATCATCAGGGTTTAACAAGCAGTTGGTTATGATCAAGAAGTTTCTAACATTAAGAATTGCTTCTTGGATCAGCGGAGATATTACCTTATGCGTCTGAAATTTCTTGGCATCATGATAGGCACCCTCCAGCAGACTGATAAGTGACGTGTATCCGGCAAAGTGACCGTGTTTGAGCTTTTCGGTACTGGTGGAGAGTACAATTTTCTTTTCTTCAAAGAGGTCAGAAATGCTTTTCTTCAACACTTGCTGATGAGTTGGACAGAGGAAAAGATCCCTTTTGTTGCCAATTTTTGCTGCTTTTGAATTCTTAGTTGAGCAGGACGGATGACGGCAGGTAACCTCAGAAGAAGTAAAGTTCGGATCGAACTGAAGGAGAGATATTTCTTCGTGAGCCCCAAGGTGGCCAGACTTCCGCAGCGTCACTTTTGTTTTGAAGTTGTCCCCAAAAAGCCTTTTAGCATCAAGAAGGCTGGATTTGCTCACTTTTGGCGCGGGTGACACAGGTTTGAGGTGAGCGAGAAGTTCTTGTTGCCATCCTTTTACTGTCTCCGATAAGGTTTCGCCAGCTACCGGTAATACAAGGGAATTCTTCCTCAATTGTGAACCGTCAGTTTGGTTTCCAATAATCCCGAGTTTTTTGCTGTAAGCAGATATTTCTTCCTTTGCAATTTCAGCAGATATATGATCAGATATTTCTTCCTTTGCAATTTGAGCAGATATAATATCAGATAGATCTTTCATTACATTTTCACCCATTTCGTCGCGGGAGTTCGCTCTTGTTTTCAGTCTGGACGAGGTCACGAATCGAAAGTAACTAATTTCTGTCTCGGTTTGAAATATCTACAGGATTTGAGGGGAAACCCCCATAGGGATTACCTAAGGAGAATTTCTCGCTCTTTTTTTAAAAAAGGGGGTAGATGAAAATGAATTTCTCCTTTAGAGAAGAACATGACATGGCAGATTTCAATTTGAGAAATGTTCCCATATGAAACCGAAAGATTACGCTTTTGAACCCTGCAGGAAGTGAAAATTCTGGTAAACAACTCCAACATTGAGATAATCTTCTGGGAGATATGTTTCGAATTCTTGACAGCCCTTAACCTGCTTCCATTATTGATGTTTGTGCAAAAATATTTAGAAACATGACCCTCCATCACAGCGAAACTGAAAAGGGGAAAAACCCCTGGTTAGACGTCACGAGTTCTGTTTCAAACATCAGGAGAATTTCTCGCTCTTTTTTGAAAAAAGGCGTTAATGAAAAATGAATTTCTCCTGTAGAGAAGAACGTGACTTGACAGATTTCGAGTTCAGAAATGGTTCCTCATGAAACCGAAAGATTACGCTTTCGAACCGTGAAGGAAGTGAAAATTCTGGTAAACGACTCCAACATTAATATAATCTTCTGGGAGATATGTTTAGAACCCTTAAGATCACTTAACCCGCTTCCATCATTTGATGTTTGTTCAAGAATATTTAGAAACATGACGCTCCTCACAGCGAAACTGAAAAGGGAAAAACCCCTTGTTAGAAGTCACGAGTTGTGTTTCCATACAAACGCAATCAACTGTATCTCTTTCAAGACAACAATTGGAACAAAAAAATTGTTTTGTACTCGTATCTGGTTTAAAACTGCCCTTCCAACTTGATTCAAGCTGAGTAAGCGGACGCACTTAGACTTCATGTTTTTTGGAAAGATTAAAAAACAACGATTAGAAAATCAAAAACAAATATGAAAATAAAAGGAAAGTATAACTCAAGGGGAAACCCCTGACCCAAGGACGCACGGAGGTTTTAACGCGCAAGATAACTTGGGACTGTCTCCAGCCACATTTAAGATGGCGGTCAAACAGTTGAGCGGTGAACTGCGAACATATATTGCCGCATTATTCCTCAATTGTGAACCGTCAGTTTGGTTTCCAATAATTCCGAGTTTATTGGCATAAGCAGATATTTTTTCTTTGAAACGCCTTTCTGGTCGCTGGAGTTTACTCTTGTTTCCAGTCTGGACGAGATCACGAATCGAAAGTAACTTATTTTTGTCTCGGTTGGAATATCTGCAAGATTTGAGGGGAAACCCCCATAGGGATTACCTAAGGAGAATTTCTCGCTCTTTTTTTAAGAAAGGGAGTAGATGAAAATGAATTTCTCCAGTAGAGAAGAACATGACTTGGCAGATTTCGATTTCAGAAATGTTCCCATATGAAACCGAAATCGTGAAGGAAGTGAAAATTCTCGTAAACTACTCCAGCATTGAGATAATCGTCTGAGAGATGTTTCGAACCCTCGACAGCACTTAATCCGCTTCCATTATTTGACGTTTGTGCAAAAATATTTAGAAACATGACGCCCCATCACAGCGAAACTGAAAAAGGGAAAACTCCTTGTTAGAAGTCTCGAGTTCTGTTTCCAAATAAATGCAATCAACTGTATCTCTTCCAAGACAACAATTGGAACAAAAAAAAATTGTTTCTACTCGTATCTAGTTTAAAACTGCCCTTCCAACGTGATTCAAGCTAAGCAAGGGGACACTTATAGACTTTTTCATGTTTTTAGGAAGGATTCAAAAACAATGATTGACAAATTAAAAACAAATTTGAAAAAAAAAATGAAAGTATGACCCAAGGGGAAACCCCTGGTACGCATGTATCGCGCAAGGTAACTTGAGACTGTTGCCTTCTATATTCAAGAAAGCGGCCAAACAGTTAAGAATAGTGACTAAATACAGGAATGGCTCCGACCTGTGATTGGGTGATAAAAATAGTAAAAGTTAATAAGTTATATCTTTAAAACTCCTTGCTCGTGAGTATTGTTTACCCATGTATGAGGTTTTTACGTACAAAACATCTTAAAAAACATCTTCAATCTGTTATACTTGGTGATGCGTATGACTCTTCAAGAATTATAGACATTGCTTCTGATGCAGATGTTGTTGTTCATGAAGCTCCTCTTGAGAATGAATTGATGGTTAAGTGCGTAGATCATGGTCATTCAACTCCAGGTAGCTACCTCTGATGGAAACTATACTCACACTGTATGAGCACATCTCCTTGAAAAGGTTCCCCTGAAATAAGAATTGCTTATGCAGGAAGCGAAAAAATCTGTCTGACTCCAACCTCACACTTGTCAACTAGAGTGGAAAGAAGGGAAAAATAGAATGTATAAAATGATAAAACAAATTTTGAAAAGCAAATTAGCATCACATTACAGAGAGTAATCTATCCAAGACCAGTAGTCAAAACAAATGAGTTCACACATAACAAGCTCATTTAGCTATGTCATATCCTGGTGAAAGAAGGGCCATGACTAATTGAAAAAGTGAATTAGCATCACATTGTATGGAATTTGTCCAATATCTTTAGCAGTAATAAAGGGGGTTAGTTTCTAAGGAAACTGTGGTGCTAGATCAGCGGGAGAGTATAACAGGGTAAGTTGGTATTATGAACGGAGTTGATGATGTAAACTTGCCACTGTAAAGATTTTCAGAGCTGAAGTTTCGAGTGTTAGCCCTTTGTCAGTGTGAATGAGGACAAAGGATTAAAGCTTGAAATGTCAGCTGTGAACTCTTAACAGTGGCCAATTTATGTTATCAAATCAGTTGACAACACCATATTCCCCAGCTTTAGTAGTAGTTTGATATAAATGAGCTAACACATAACAAACTCTCCTCATAAAGAATGGAGTAGTTAAGGTTCTCTCCCTGTTGGACTTAAAGTGTAGAGTTTTCTTTGCATGGAAAATCAAAGCCAAAAAACTGGTTCTCACAAACTTTAACTGAAGATACAAGAGGAGTTAGTAACATTGAAGAAAATAGCACTGATGATACTACAACTGTAAAAAAAACTTCTTATGCAAGCTGAGAAGGCATTTCCATCAGGAAACGTTTTGGTTGCTTATGAATTTATGGTTACACAAATTCCTCAGAAACGTCAATAACAAAGAACTTTTAATTCTGTTCATTTCTACATCTAATGTAGTGTTCACAAGCAATACATTTCTCTATAATTTTTTCCACATACACTTGTGCAAGACTGACACTGTTATGATATAATTTAGCCAACAGTAAAAATACCTTAAGTTAAACAATTATCTTATGAAACCGATGAATTTATCTAACTATACTCAGTTTGAGGTCACTATTACAAGGGAGCAATTCCTAACCTACATAATCCACTATACACTTAATTTCAGTTACTGCCGATACACAGTGGAAATTGCCTACGTCTCACAAAGCACTTTTAATTCTGTTCATTTCTACATCTAATGTAGTGTTCACAAACAATACAGTTCTCAAAATCTTTTTTTTTTTACACACCTGAGTGAGACTGACATGCAATGCTATAATTTAGCCAACAGTAAAAATACCTTAAGTTATACAGTTATCTTATGAAACCGATGAATTTATCTAACTATACTCAGTTTGAGGTCACTATTACAAGGGAGCAACCCTTCACCTACATAATCCACTATACACTTAATTTCATTTACTGCTGATACACAGTGGAAATTGCCTACGTCTCACAAAGCACTTTTAATTCTGTTCATTTCTACATCTAATGTAGTGTTCACAAACAATACAGTTCTCAAAATCTTTTTTTTTTTACACACCTGAGTGAGACTGACATGCAATGCTATAATTTAGCCAACAGTAAAAATACCTTAAGTTATACAGTTATCTTATGAAACCGATGAATTTATCTAACTATACTCAGTTTGAGGTCACTATTACAAGGGAGCAACCCTTCACCTACATAATCCACTATACACTTAATTTCAGTTACTGCTGATACACAGTGGAAATTGTCTTCCTCTAACAAAGAACTTTTAATTCTGAGCATTTCTACATCTAATGTAGTGTTGACAAACAATACAGTTCTCTCAATTTTTTTTTACACACACCAGAGTGAGACTGACATGTAATGCTATAATTTAGCCAACAGTAAAAATACCTTAAGTTAAACAATTATCTTATCTTATACTTTTGAGGTAAATATTACAAGGGAGCAACCCTTAACCTACATAATCCACTAAATTCAACTACTGCTGAAACACAGCGGAAATTGCCTTCCTCTGAAACTCCTGACTGTCAGAGAAATTCGGCAGTAGACCACAACAACTCTAGTTAGCTTTTTCAAGCAGTTAGCCTTAGCCAATAACATCCACTAACTTATTTAGGTCACCAACTGTTTAATAAATACATTAATAAAGGTTCTTGAAGCCTTCAAAGTAACTATTCTTGTAAAATTACACAATTATTGCATCACTCAGTGGAATGTTCTAGATAAATCCACATAGCATGACTAAGCTTTCTAGAAATTTCCAGAAACTCTCTATTCACAGCTATTCTCTAAAACAATTAACACTTCCTCATATGGACCATAAGGTTGGTTCTTGCTATTTGAATTCTTCAGTTATTTTTTTAACTTGATTCACACAGGCACCACCATGCTATTAGTGATGTTTCTGCGTACTTGCAATAACTCTTTGATGATGAGTTTGAAACTTCTCCCCACAATGAGTATACATTATCAAGCAACTATGTGATAAGAATGGACACAATTATCAACTTGAAGAGACTAATTTGATGAAAGAATATATCCTATTTCAAATTCATTGAAAAGATTAACCGCCAAGTGCTAAAGCCAGTCTACCTTCTGCATTTGCTTCAACAATGTATACTAGATCCTGGTTGTTTGGTTGACCATTCTGTTGTATATCACCTCCAGCTTCCCTCCATTCCTCTATGAATCGCTGTAGCCTCTGGTTTTGTTGTTTCTTAGTTAAAAAGCTGTGAATACCATTGCCAATGAGACCTCCAGCAGTCCCTCCTATGGTCACACCAGCGGCTCCACTCCAAGGTCCCAGGAAGAAAGCGCCTGCCCCCAAGATCATACCCACTCCAAACCCAATCTGAGTAGCAGGATTGCGAAGGGCAAGGGCCACCCAACAATAGATCACACCAAAAGAGAAAAGAACCATCTCAATGACGTCGCGGAGCATGTGGATGAGGCCAACTACCGACTTTGTGGGTTTGTCAGGATCCTTCAGGATGAGGTGCAAGATTTGGAATACAGGAGGCAGAGCAATTCCCAGGTTATCATCATCGGGGTTTAATAAGCAGTTGGTTATGATTAAGAAGTTTCTAACATTAAGAATTGCTTCTTGGATCAACAGAGATTTTCCCTTAAGCGTCTGAGATTCCTTGGCACCATGATAGGCACTATCCAGCACACTGATAACTGACGTGTATCCAGCAAAAAGACCGTGTTTGTTGGTACTGTTGGAGAGAGTAATTTTCTCCTTTGCAAAGAGGTTAGAAATGCTGTTCCTCAACACTTGCTGATGAGTTGGACAGAGGAAAAGATCCCTTTTGTTGCCACTTTTTGCTGCTTCTGAATTCTTGGTCGAGCATGACGGATGACGGCAGGTAACCTCAGAAGAAGTAAAGTTCGGATCAAACTGAAGGAGAGATATTTCTTCGTAAGCCCCGAGATGGCCAGACTTCCGCAGCGTCACTTTTTTCTTGAAGTTGTCTCCAAAAAGCTTTCTAGCATCAAGAAGGCTAGATTTGGTCACTTTTGGCGCGGGAGTCACGAGTTTGAGGTGAGCGAGAAGTTCTTGTTGCCGTTCTTTTATTATCTTCGATACAGTTTCGCCAGCTGCCCGCGATACAGGGGAATTCTTCCTCAATTGTGAACCTTCAGTTTGGTTTCCAATATTTCCGAGTTTATTTCCATACGCAGATATTTTTTCCCTTGCATTTTCATCATACTGAAACGCCATTTCTGCTAGCTGGAGTTTGCTCATATTTTCAATCTACACGCGGTCATGAATCGAATGGAACTTATTTGTGTCTCGGTCGGAATTATCAACAAGATTTGAGGGGAACCCCCATAGGGATTACTTAAGGAGAATTTCTCGCTCTTTTTAAAAAAAGGAAATAGATGAAAAATGAATTTCTCCTTTTCGAACCCTTGACAGCACTTAATCCGCTTGATGTTTGTTCAAAAATATTTAGAAACATGAAGCTCCGTCACAGCGAAACTGAAAAGGGGAAAAACCCCTTGTTAGAAGTCACGAGTTCTGTTTTCAAATACACGCAATCAATTGAATCTCCTCCAAGACAAAAACTGTAACAGATAAACAAAAACGAATTGTTTCTACTCGTATCTAGTTTAAAACTGCCCTTCCAACTTGATTCAAGCTAAGCCAGCGAACGCACATAGACTTCATGTTTTTAGGAAGGCTTCATAAACAAAAATAAATAAAAAATAAAAAACAAAAGTATGACTCATGGGGAAACCCCTGACCCAAAGACATCACGGAGGTTATAACGCGCAATTAACAATTGGTTCATACGTCAGCTTGTGTTCATCGAGATATGAAGCACACGGGAAGTTTGGAGAGCACGAAAGATGCGTAAGAGTTGCTCGAGGCGTAGCCGAGATAACTCTAGCTTATTGAGTGCTCTCCATACTTCCCAAGTGCTTCATATCTCGATGAACGCACAGCTGACGTATGAATCAATTGTTTTATAACATTTTCAACCCGATGGAAAATTTTTTCACGAGGGATTTGTTTGCTGACGTCATGAGCGTACACGATAGGAATATGAAGAACGACCGCGCAATTGAATTTTATTAGACAAATTTTACTAGCTATGTTATAAGATAACTTAGCACTGTCGCCATCCACATTCAAGATGGCGGCCAAACAGTTTAGCGGGGTACTGCGAACATATATTGCCGCATTATTCCTCAATTGTAAACCGTCAGTTTGGTTCCCAATAATTCCGAGTTTATTGCCACAAACAGATATTTTTCCTATGCAATTTCATTATACTGAAACGCCATTTCTGATCGCTGGATTTCAATTTCAGGAATGTTCCCTTATGAAACCGAAAGATTATGATTTCGAAGCCTGAAGTAAGAGAAAATTCTAGTAAACAACTCCAACATTGAGATAATCTTCTGGGAGATATGTTTCGAACCCTTGACAGGAAAATTATTTTGAGACTCAAGAAAATAAAAGAGCTTGAGTCAGTTAAATTTTCCCAGCAAACATGATATTCCATCTGCGACACTGTTCATGTGCATTTCCGGTCAGGTAATTGTGAACTTTGCGAAATCTCCACTACGTTCGTGAATAACTCAATGCGTCGTTTAGGCCATAGAGCGCAAAAGTAATTTGAAATGTTAGTTGACGCTGTAGCTGTACTGTCTTTAGGGTGTAATCAACGTACGTTGTCGATGAATAATTCAAATGCGTGACACGACACTTACCTGACCGGAAATGCACATGGACGGTGTCGCAGCATGTTTCTAGATGGAATATCATGTTTGCTAGGAAAGTGTAACTGACCCAAGCTCTTTTATTTTCTTGAGTCTCAAAATAATTTTCTTTCTCAAATTACAGATTTCTATTTTGCAAATCATTAACATATTTCCATTTCGCAAATTACAGATTTGTTTTTGAAGCCTTCCTAAAAACTTGAAGTCTATGTGCGTCCGCTTGCTCAGCTTGAATCAAGTTGGAAGCGCAGTTTTAAACTAGAAGCGAGTAGAAACAATTTGTCTTTTTTTTGTTCCAATTGTTGTGTTGGAAGAGATACAATTGATTGCGTTTATTTGGAAACAGAACTCGTGACCTCTAACAAGGGGTTTTTCCCTTTTCAGTTTCGCTGTGGAGCGTCATGTTTCTAAATATTTTTGATCAAACATCAAATAATGGAAGCGGGTTAAGTGCTGTCAAGGGTTCGAAACATATCTCCCAGACGATTGTGTCAATTTTGGAGTTGTTTACCAGAATTTTCACTTCCTTCACGGTTCGAAAGCGCAATCTTTCGGTTTCATAAGGGAACATTTCTGAAATTGAAATCTGCTAAGTCGTGTTCTTCTCTAAAGGAGAAATTCATTTTCCATCTACTCCCTTTTTAAAAAAGAGTGAGAAACTCTCCCTAAGTAATCCCTACAGCAGTTTCCCCTCAAATCCTGTAGATATTTCCAACCAAGACAAAAATAACTTGCATTCGATTCGTGAACTCGTCCAGACTGGAAACAAAAGCAAACTACAGCGACCAGAAGTGGCGTTTCAGTACGATGAAATTGCAGAGGAAAAAATGTCTGCTTATGGCAATAAACTCGGGATTATTGGAATCCAAACTGACGGTTCACAATGCAGGAATAATGCGAGAATATATGTTCGCAGTACCCGCAATCTTGAATGTGGATGGACAGTCCCGAGTTACCTTGCGCGTTATAACCTCCGTGATGTCTTTAGGTCAGGGGTTTTCCCTTGACTCATACTTTTTTTTTTTTTTTTTTTCAAATTTGTTTTTGATTTTTTTAATCATTGTTTATGAAGCCTTCCTAAAAACATGAAGTCTATGTGCGTCCGCTCGCTTAGCTTGAATCGAGTTGGAAGGGCAGTTTTAAACTAGAAACGAGTAGAAACAATTTGTTTTTTTTTGTTCCAATTGTTGTCTTGGAAGAGATTCAATTGATTGCGTTTATATGGACACAAAACTCGTGACTTCTAACAAGGGGTTTTTCCTTTTCAATTTCGCAGTGATGGGGCGCGATGTTTCTAAATACTTTAGAACAAACATTAAATAATGGAACCGGATTAAATGCTGTCAAGGGTTTGAAACATATATCCCAGAAGATTATCTCAATGCTTGAATCGTTTACCAGAATTTTCACGTTTCGGAAGCGTAATCTTTCGGTTTCATAAGGGAATATTAATTGAAATATGCCAGGTCATGTTCTTCTCTCAATAAGAAATTCATTTTTCATCTATTCCCTATTTTAAAAAGAGCGAGAAATTCTCCTTAAGTAATCCCTATCGAGGTTTCGCCTTAAATCCTGTAGATATTTCCAACCGACGCAAGAATGAGTTGCATTCGATTCGTGACACGTCCAGATTGAAAACAAGAGCAAACTCCAACGACCAGAAATGGCGTTTCACTGATGGTGAAAATGCAAAGTAAAAAACATCTGCTCAAGGAAATAAACTCGGGATTATTGGAAACCAAACTGACGGTTCACTATTGAGGAATGATTCCCTTGTATTACCGGCAGCAGACGAAACCGTATCGAAGATAGTAAAAAAATGGCAACAAGAACTTCTCGCTCACCTTAAACCTGTGACTCCCGCGCCAAAAGTGAGAAAATCTAGCCTCCGTGATGCTAGAAAGTTTTTTGGGGAAAGCTTCAAAACAAAAGTGACGCTGCGGAAGTCTGGCTATCTCGGGGCTTAAGAAGAAATATCTCTCCTTCAGTTCGATCCGAATTTTACTTCTTCTGAGGTTACCTGCTGTCATCCGTCATGCTCGACCAAGAATTCAGAAGCAGCAAAAAGTGGCACCAAAAGGGATCTTTTCCTCTGTCCAATTCATCATCAAGTGTTGAAGAACAGCATTCTGACCTCTTTGCAAAGGGGGAAAATTAAACTCTCCACCAGTACCGAGAAGCCCAAACACGGTCTCTTTGCCAGATACACGTCTCTTATTAGAGGGTGGCAAAGGGGGGGGGTTCCAGTCACACATCACGCTGAATTTTTCTATTAAATCACACATCACGGAATATTTTGTTAACCAATCGCGCGTCACGTAAAAAGGAGTAAGTGCGCTGAGCCAACAATGTAAGATTTCAACTGGACGCTCTGAGAGCGTTTACTCAGGCTTCGTATCGCAATATCAAATCGTACTTTACCAGTATCGAACACAGATTCAACATCTGAGGTATTCGTCTGGGCATCATGATCATAGTTATCATAGTTTGTTGTTAAATAAGTCAGTGGTCGTAGTTTTGACAATGTTTTCGTAGTTTGAACTCATATATGGCTCATTAGTTATCTCGCAAGAACTAGTATGAACTTTGCTAATTTGGCTATCTTTCAATTTGCGGCCACTCGTAGCTCAAAGGGGCTTGCGTACGAATCTATTAGACGTCTACGCCACCTTTTTTTGATACACGGGCAATATTTGTGTCAAAGCTTTGCCCAATCCCCTTCTGTCACTGGCAACTATCTTAATGTCAATAAAGGGTATAACGTGGCTTTTGAAATCGTTTGGGTCTTTCTGACGACCTTGGAAAAATTTTGTGTACCACTAACTGCTACACAAAATTTTCCTTGTTTACTGGCTCATTGCTTGCATTACCATCTTCTCGGGCGGCATAAAATGAGACCAAAACTCTAACGTTTGGGTCGACATTCTTTCAGATCTTTCATTCGATGGATTCGGATACTTTCTGGTCCTTCTGGACACGATCTGACTCACTACCATGACCAGGCGGTCGACAAAAATAACACCGAAGGTCATAGTCCTTGTGCAAATGTTAACCATATGAACTTATGTCCATTGTGTTACGATTGTTTGGATCTACCACGAAGATAAAAGAAATCAAAGGTCAAGCAAAGGTCAGCAAAGGACGGAAAAGACCAGAAAACAATGTCACGGCTGCCACGGTTTACTGATCTTTGTTAAGACTCTATTTTCTTTGAATGATTGGTATCCTTCTCGGTCAAAGCTAAGAGCGTTCACTTATCACGGAAATCTAATTTGCACGTCTAGTAAATCACGAGTCACGCGTTTGTAAAATAGCAAATCACGCATCACGTTGTGATGTTCGGTCCCGCGTCACGCGAATGATTTAAGTTCAATCATG